CCCGCAAAAAACAAACCATGTCTTTCAAATGTGCAATTTCATCCCTTAAGCATGTATTTATAGAAAATAGGGGGGGGAAAAAAGCCAATGTAATTGCCATTTGACAAACATCTTGAAAATAAAACTGTTGTCTTACCAGCATAAACCACAATGCCTATCACAGTCTCAGTGTTGCGAATGGTGCAGCTCCTAAGCAGGAGGTTACTGCTATGGAGGCCAACACGAACCCCACTGGAATGCTCTCTGTGATACAAAACAGACACACACAGACAAGCTAGAGCTCAGCTGAACAATCCATTTTAACCCAGTGAGAAGTATAATTGGAGGACAACTGAGAGAATGCATTTGACAGCATCAAGGTCTGACGCAGACTCTACTCAGTGGACCTGTGGAAGTCAAGAGCAGGTGCATTAGCAAATCATTTTCTCTATCTTTTACAAATACTTTATTGTGTCATAATTTTCAAAATATAATATTTGCTATATCATTTCTCCATTTGTGACAGTGTTTTGTTGAACAGTCATGCTTGGTTTGAGATGCTCAGATTTTTTTTTGTCATCTATGTTTTAATTACAATACAGGAATAAATAAATAAAAATAATAAAAGTCAACCCTGGATATTGGATGTCTTAAAAAAGAAGGCTGTCAAACTAAATGTGGTCATGAAAACTGAATAACCGCCATGGCCTTTGTTTGTTTGTAAAGGATTTGAACCTGGGATTTTGCAACTGTGCTCTTGTGATCAACTTTAGAGATAAATGTCATGTTCTAACAGACTGTGATCAAACATCAGTAAGCCTTAGAATATCTAGTATATCCAGTCCCAGGCTGCTGCTTACTGCTTGCAACTCTGTAATGCTTCAACAAAGCTCAGTTTCCTTTTTCACATTAAAATAATTTTACTATCCTGAAGCAGTGCAAAAATAAAGACAAACATATAGCAAGAGGAGTGGCACAAAACACAACAAAAACAGGCAAAGTAACAGTTCACTCTCTCAATTCAATTTTTTTTTTGTTCATGTGTGTTCAAAGATGGGACTTTTCATGACAGCTTAAAGTTGTGTTCATATTTAAACTTATCCATAATCAGAAACTATCCACTTGTTCAGTTTTGCAGATTCTGAATCAATGGAATGATAAGAAATAACTGAAAATGTCAGGCTTTTATCTGAAATAGTCCCTGAGATATTGTTGTTCAAAGATGTCCTCAAATTTCAAAGTGGAAAAAAATGTGCTGTAAATGGGTCAATTGACATATCGATAAATATTTGATACGGCGAGCAGAAATTCTTCTAAAAATTTAATGATTGGAAATTAAATGACCACATGGGATTACAAGATAAAAAAGAAACTCACATGTAACCTCTGAACCTGCTGAGGTCATTCTTGGGGTTCTCACACTCAATACGACTGTGGAAGCTCTCAGGGGTGAACTCTACTCCCTGCAAAACACACATCCAAAACTGTGGATAAATACACATATACCAGTGCATCTTAAAAAAGTAGAACGTTTTATAAAAGTTTCAAATTTCCATGAGCTGCAGAAGAAAGTGACATTTTTCATATATCCTATGAATGAATATCAATCAGTACAAAAACGTCAAAATTTGACAAAAGTCTCACCTGACATCCACTGAATCAGCTGTTTCTTTATCCACAGTGACTTTAGTTTCTTTAATAAAGCAGGGTTCTACCTTCATACTATGGATATTTTCAGAGTTACAGGCCTTTGAAGTACACACAGGAGGGTCGACATTTGAAATGTTTTAAAGCGACCAAAACATGACAAATTTGACTGGCCAACTTACCTCACCTGAACGAGATAGTAGCCCAACTAGGCATTGTCAAGAAGAAGATAAGAAATGCAAATGTAACCCAAAATACAGATGATCTGAAGGCTGCTTTCAATAACACCTCAGCAGTACTACAGACCGGTCGCCTGCATGCAGTGTCACATTGATTCAAGTAATTTGTGGGAAAGGTGCCCCCAGCAAGTATTGAGTGTAAAAATGAACATACTGCACATACTTTCTGCTCAGCACAGTTAGAAAGAAGGGTTATCTGGTTTACCATTGTCCTCTGTCAGCTCACTGACACTGGGTCTAGCCATTCTTTCTGACAACTCTCATGAAAAACTCAGGAGTTCAGCAAGTCCAGAATAATTCAAACTCATTTGGCCCAAAAATCAGGCCAAAGTCAAAGTAACTGAGATCCCATTTTTCCCCACTAACTGAAGCTCCTGACTTGTACCTGTTTATGAGTTATATTGTGCTACATGATTAACTGATTGGATAATTGCATGAATCACTAAAGAAGGACATCTTGTTGGAAAATGCTACTGTCAAAGACATCTGTCGTCAAAGACATGTTCCACTGTCAAAGACTTTTCAGGGCTCTGTTAATATTTTTGACTTCAGCAGAGGCTTTTCAAAATTCAACATGGCATTCATGTGGATACTACTTTGGCACGTGCCACCTACCTAAACATTGTTGCTGACCAAGCAGACCACCCAAAAAGCAACAGTTCTTCCCAATGCCAGTCTTGCAGCAGGACACTGTGCCCTGCTACATAGTGTAGCCCCCACAGACAACAAAGATGATCTTGATGTTGAAGTCTTTGCTTCACCATAGTTAGTCATTTTAAGCAGTTCACTACTTTTATTTATATAAACACCAAGAAAAAATACCAAGGTCTGGACAACATGGACCTCAGTGGTGCATACGGCCATGCTGCGTCCCCACACTGCATTTTGATCAATTTATTCATTTGTTGCTATTGGGCTAGGCAATTAGGTTATACAAATAAAGCACTACTGATTTACTATTTGTTGAGTTAGTTTCTCTTGTTGTTTTGTCAATAGAATGTTTTTTGGGTTTTTTTTGTATTTTTCCTAATAACATTCACAGACATCTCAAGGCACCCCTGGCCCCCTGGTGGGCCATGGACCCCCTGTTGAGAACCACTGCTCTAAATTGTCACAATCCTTAGAATGACTTACTCTGTAGAGATAGAAATGTACAAACTGAGGTTAAGACAAATCTTTAAGACGTATTAATTCCCTTCATGTATTACCTGAAAAGGGAGGCCTGAAACCACCTCTCTCTGTTTCAGGTTGGTCTCGCCATCCAAATTGGCAGTTTCAATGTAACAAACCCCACGAGGGTCAGAGGAATACAGCAGCAGCATGTCAGCAGGGATGATTTCATTACAGGACAAGCGTACAAAGTCTCCAACACGCACATCCATCCAGCACTGGTCAATGTAGGTTTTCTGTGTGCTGGGACAATGGAAGACAGAGACAATGAAGAGCCTATCAATCAAATGATTGAGCACTGACAAAAATGAGAAAGATCATCAAATGTTTAGTTCAATCATCTTTCTTTTGAGGTTACAGTGGAAGTGAACATAATAACATGAATAAAGGATCCAGAATGCTTTGCAACATGTCCATGAGAACCATAGTGCCAACGAACTGACCAGTGCGGGGACTTTCCTCAAACTGCTATGTGTATTATTATGAAGGCCTGAGCACCAAGTGGTTACGATGACTTTCTTGAAAGTGATACTACATGTTTATTATAATTATTAAGACCCGAGCACTGACTGGTGCAAAGACCTTCTCGAAACAACTCTGTTATCATTATTTTTACTATCACTATTTATTAAGGACACTATAGGTGCTTGAAAACCTAAAACCTAAATGCAAAACCTTAAATGAATGTTTTATCTGTCCTGCACAAGAGTGTGGCAAAGTACGTTGATAGCACCCCGGCAAAATTTTATTGAAGTAACCCTTGTAGTATATTTTATCTTCATGTATGAAATTCAGGAACCACAAGCAGCATCCCTTGGCTTAAAAAAAAAAGGCTGTTGGAGCCATATCCTAACTCCAATGTGGAGACAAATTAGCAATATGGAATTTACTGTGCAATTTGGCGTGTGTGGTGTTGTACTTTGACAGACTCTTCCTAGACAGTTATTCAGAACAACATCATATTTGTTCAGTCTACTCTAAAAGACCTTCACAATGTGACACTGCAAAGCTTTTAAGTTTTTGATGAATGGCATGTACACTGTGGCATGGTGAATTCCAATTGTTTGCCAATAAATGGGATGTTGCTTTTGAAGGGCTAGTTAAGTTTTAAACAAAAAATGGCACATGGCACATGCATCAGAGATGGTGAAGCTTGACACTTGATATAGGTCTCAAAACTGGCTTTGGCAAAATGGCTTTGGAGCCCCTAAGGATTCTCAACAAAGTTGCCCTTGTGGCTACGTTACCCCTACATACAAAATTCCGTAGCCACACGTGACATTTCAAGACATACAAACAAGCCTTTTGAAGCCTTGCCTAAAACCCAACAGCAAACATTTTAAATACACTGTCCACTTTTTGCCACAGCCTTCTCCATTTACAGGCTCTGTATTATAAATTCCTCCTGATGAATTAATCACATCCATGTCATATGAGGTCACCGCAACCCAAAAACTGTTGTAAATCTGAGTTTTCATCACACAGCCTATCATTGCCGAATACTTCACACTATATCAACATTTGACTACTCAGTTACATTTGTACTGCCACCTACTGGTAAACCGAAAATAACTGTTATGTACTCTTACTAGCAACTTGATTGCTCACCACAAACATGGTTGGAACATCCAAAGGACCTTGATGATGTTTTATTTTTAAAACTATAAACTTTCATTTTACAGTGTTGTCCTGATGGCCTGTTAAATTTGACATTTCACCTTAACAATGGAAGTTGCTGTAACTTACACAGTTGGAACCAGACATTGACATACACTGTGTAAAAAGACACAACCTTTTTTTCTTACTATCTGACATTAAATGTGATTAAACTTTTTCTAGTTTATGTCAGCTTCCAAAGCCACAACATCATCATCTGGGCTCTCCCAAATGCATAGTAATCTTAGTGTATGTAAATTTCTGCCTTTGAAGAAAGTAGGTCAAAATTCTCTAAAAAAAAAAAAAAAATCTCTCTCATTATTCTGGCGTTTAGCAAACAGAAATAATTTTGTTAATCCTAACTGACCTAAAACAGGAAAAGTTTAGTCTGATTTAATGTAAAATAGTAAGAAATTTTTTTTTTATGTCTTTTTATGCAGTGTATGTAAACTTCTGGTTTTAACTGTACATTCTCCAATCTTGTCAAAATATCTCCTTTGACTAGAGTCCCAGCTGAACACAATAACATCAGAACTGAGATACAGTCAGAGTGATATCAGCTGGACACAGGAAGTCAGCCTTATTTGACAAACATCTTTTGACCCACAATAAACTTACATCGTGTGTACAGCAACATATTACATGTTTGTTTTCTGTTCTCTCACACCACATAGTGGAGACAGGAATTGATACAAAAACCTGCAATAAATCATGCCCACCACCACATAGAGCAGGCAGAATTTTAAAACTTACACAGTAAGCAATGACCCCAAAAGGCTGTACTTGAGTCAATCGAAGCCCTGCCAGTGCCTCTTTTACACAATAAGGTTCAATGGTCAGATCAGTGCTGCTTGTAGCTTTAATTATTTTTGTTAGTATTTACAGTCATGTATTGTATTTCTGAGAGGCTAAAGTTGCTCAACATTGTTATAAAGGCCAAA